TGATAGAGAAATCGGGGAAATAAAACGAGCGCTGGATCCAAATAGTCTAGCCGCTAGCATAAAAAGGCAAACCTCAAACAGCCTCCTGGTAAAAAGCTAAAATATACATGAAGTATGCAGCGCTAAATGAGATGAAACAAAACAATAAAATAATAAAATCAAATGTGAGGTTAGCACAGCTGAAATGAATAAATTGGTATGAAAGCCAAAACTATAGGTTTATACTGTAGTATCATATGTCAGATCAAGGTGCATAAAGTGACAAAGGTGCCCAAGTCAATCAATCCATTAATATATCCAAGTAACAGGGAAAACCACGACATCTGTGGTATAGAATGTGGCTGTTGATTACACTAAACAGATAGCGGAAATTATAGCGCGTTGGAGTTAAATGACCTACTCATGGTCACTGGAACAGGGACACTGCCAAACAGGTGGTCATCAACGCAGCAACCTCAGGATCCTCTATAGCAGTGGTTCTCAACCTGTGGGTCGCGACCCCTTTGGGGGTCGAACGACCCTTTCACAGGGGTCACCTAAGACCATCGGAAAACACATATTTCCAATGTGTAAAGAGCAGCTACTGTGTAGAAAGCAGCACTGTATTGAAAGAGCAGTATTGGAGGTAAAACGACACTTGAATTATGAATTATAATTACTGGGTAAATAATTTTATGGTTGGGGGTCACCACAACATGAGGAACTGTATTAAAGGGTCACGGCATTAGGAAGGTTGAGAGCCACTGCTCTATAGCGTCTCCAGGTGTATCGTCTCCAGCCACCAGGGGGGGTATGTGCCTCTCCCACGTATCAAGAATCCCCTTCTGTCATCAATCTCTGGGTGTAATGTGCTCTCGTACATCAGGAATCACCTTAGGGGCTCAATAATAAACCCAAAAGAGTGAGATCCGATAGTGTAGTAATTTTTATTCAAAGGGATAAGTAAAACAGGTAATGCACTTACATATTAAAATTCCAGAAAAATTTCTGAAAGTCCAAAATGGCCGCCAGTCAGATGTGTGGACCATGTGGACTATGTCAGCATGTGAGGTACCATCTCCCTAACGCGTTTCGTGACTAATGCACATTAGTTGGTGGTCAGTGATGAAGGGTCCAATTTGATTAGCGGTCACTGGCAAGAAAAAACAGCTGATATTGGTGCTCATTGAAAGAAAGGATCTCTTAAACTGATGGTTAGTGGGACAAGGACCCCATTGCATTAGCAGTTGATGGGAAGAGTACTCCTTAGGTTGGTGGTCAGCGGGAAGAATCCCTTTACAGACAGCTAAAAAGATAATTTGGTTACTTATATGAGAGGCAGAAATTGCTCAATGCTGAAGGGATCACAAACAACCTCTAGATGGCCCTGTCTCAACCACAGAGGAAATCCTGAAGTAGTTTTCTGGTGAGGGAACCCAAACAATTACGATATCTACAGCTCACAGTACTCTAGGGTGATGGTCAAAAGAAAGAGTGCTCCTTATATTTGTGGTCAGTAGGAAGGATATCCCCCTTAGTGATAGTTACAAGCATCATTGGGCTCAGTGATTACTTATCTGATAGAAATTTCTCAAGGATCTCCTAGCAAGTGCTAGAGGAACTCTAGAGTTCCACAGAACCCTAGTTGAGAAATGCTGCTCTGGAGGAACTCTCTTTGAGAAAGGGTTCTTTAGGGGAACACTGTTTTAGAAAGGCTACTCTACAGTAATAATATTAGGGTTCCATGGCATCCTGGTTTATTAAGTCTGCTTGAGAAGAACCCTAGGGTTCCATGGAACGCTGTTTTAGAAAGGCTGCTCTAGAGGAATTCTAGGGTTCCATGAAACCCTGGTTATGAAAAGCTGCTTTAGAAGAATCCTAGGGTTCTATGGAACTCTGTTCCAGAAAGGCTGCTGTAGAGGAACCCTAAGGTTTTAGTGAACCCTGGCTGGGAAAGGCTGCTCTGGTGGAACCCTAGGGCTCCATGGGATGCTGGTTTAGAAAGACTGCTCTGGTGGAACCCTAGGGCTCCATGGAGTGCTGATTTATAAAGGCTGCTCTAGAAGAACACTAGGGTTCCACAGAATGCTAGTTTAGAAAAGTTGCTCTAGAACAGAGGTCTCCAAAGTTTCTAAACAAAGGGCCAGTATACTGTTCTTCAGGCTTTGGGGGGCTGGACTATGGTCAAATGGAGTAGAAAATGTCCAAGTGTGGGAGCAAACTATATCTCATCATTGATGTCAGTGGGAGGAATAGTACCCCATCATTGTTGTCAGTGGTTGAAATAAAGAATGGAATAATGCCCCATCATTGGTGTCAGTGGCAATAATTATGCCTCATTGATGGTGTCACTGGGAGGAATAGTTCCTTCTTTCATTGGTGGGAGAAATAGTGCCCCAAGGGCTGGGTAAAGGAAAGAGCTACATCCGCACCATGGGCCACAGTTTGTAGATCACTGCTCTAGAGGATCCCTGGCTGAGAAAGGCTGCTCTAGAGGAATCATAGGGTTCCATAGAATGCTGGTTTAGAAATGTTGCATTAGAGGAACGCTAGGGTCCCATGAAACCCTGACTGAGAAAGGCTGTTCTAGAAGAACCCTAGAGTTCTATGGAATGCTGTTTGAGAAAAGCTGCTCTAGAGGATCCCTGGCTGAGAAAGGCTGCTCTAGAAAACGTTTAGGGTTCCACAGAATGCTGGACTAGAAATGATGTATTAGCGGAACCCTAGTGTTTCATGAAACCCTGGCTTAGAAAGGCTGTTCTACAAGAACTCTAGGGTTCCATGGAATGCTGTTTTTGACAGGCTGCTCTAGAGAAACCCTGACTGAGAAAGGCTGTTCTAGAGGTACCCTGAGAAAGAGTGCTGTAAAACCCTAGGGTTCCACGGAATGATGGTTTAGAAAGGCTGCTCTATAGGAACTCTGGCTGAAAAAGGCTGCTCTAGAAGAATACTAGGTTTCCTTTGAATGCTGGTTTAAACTGTCCATACATGAATTGAAATTCTGCTAGTTCAGCAGGGACTGGATACATTTTGATCCATGTATTGGCAGGCTGATTGTACACAAGTCGATCTGTTAGTCGACTTGTGAACAACCAGCCCGGTGCAAAATTTTCTCTCAATCAGCATCTCAGCCTATAGTTAGTGGTGCTGATCACTGTATTCTGACGGTGGAGAAATCTCCCCACTATTAAAATACAAAGACTCAGTGGGAGGGATATCCACATCCACATTTTTTTCATTCATTCTGCTGGTATGCATGGCCAGCCTTAGGCTCCTTTAGAGGAATCCTTGGCTTCCATGGATGTTGTCAGAGAGAGGCTGCTGTAGAAGGACCCTAGCAGGAAAATGCTGCTCTACCTATTACTATGTTTGCATCACCAGAAGCCTCACCATACAACAGGAGATGCACACTTAGTCACATCGCTGTGATTTAAAATCTCGCAAATTGCGTGCGATTTCTAAAGACTTTATTGCGACTTGTGAATATTTTCTATGATTTCTTGAGATTTACTTTGCAATTTACATTATATTCTATGTGTGTAATGGTTTGCACTTCTGCCTGGCAGTACTAGGGTCGTTGGTTCAAATCCCAACCACGGCACCACTTGCCTGGAGTGCGCATGTTCTCCCTGTGCCTGTGGGTATTCCTGTTTCCTCCCACACTCCAAAAACATGCTGGTAGGTTAATTGGCTCCTGTCTAAATTGTCCCTAGTATGTGTATGTATGAATGTGAGTTAGGGACCTTAGATTGTACACCCCTTGAGGGTTAGGGACTGATGTGAATGTACAATATATATATGTAAAGCGCTACGTAAATTGATGGTGCTATATAAGTATCTGAAATAAATAATAAAATAAATGTGTGTGAAATCGCAATAAACTAGAAAAAGTAATGCAAGAACTACTTTAGAAATCTCGCTGCAGAAAAATGCACGTTAAGATACTGACATTCATTAGATGTGATTTAAATTCGCAAATCGCACCTGAAATCGCAGCGGTGTGACCGGTGACTAAGGGGCCATCGTGATGCCAAAATGAATGAAAGGAAGCAACCTGTAAGGCAGCCAGGTGTTAGAGGGATGGAAATGACTGAGCCCACACATACAGGAGAGGATGACCCTGACCAAAGACAGGAGAGGATGACCCTGACCAAAGACAGGAGAGGATGACCCTGACCAAAGACAGGAGAGGATGGACCCTGACCCTAGACAGGAGAGGATGACCCTGACCAAAGACAGGAGAGGATGACCCTGACCCTAGACAGGAGAGGGTGACCCTGACCAAAGAGAGGAGAGGATGACGCTGACCAAAGACAGGAGAGGGTGACCCTGACCAAAGACAGGAGAGGGTGACCTTGACCAAAGAGAGGAGAGGATGACCCTGACCCTAGACAGGAGAGGATGACCCTGACCAAAGAGAGGAGAGGATGACCCTGACCCTAGACAGGAGAGGATGACCCTGACTCTAGACAGGAGAGGATGACCCTGACTCTAGACAGGAGAGGATGACCCTGACCAAAGAGAGGAGAGGATGACCCTGACCCTAGACAGGAGAGGATGACCCTGACAAAAGACAAGAGAGGATGACCCTGACCAAAGACAGGAGAGGATGACCCTGACTAAAGGAGCCTCCAATGCCCATGTATGTCTGGCAGGACACCAGGCAGTGACAGCTCATGATGCAAGGTGATTTGTCAGTCCTGACAGATGTCACGGATCACCCAGACGCCCAGGCTGAGTCAGGCCGATCTCACAGAAGCTGAGCCACCCTGTCCCGGCTGATGTGGGCGCAGCAGCCTGGTGTCAGGGCAGGGCGGGCGGATCGGCGATGAATAGAGGTGAGGACAATCCTCGCCAGCCTGCCAGCATCACAGATCCGTCCCCGGCTCCTCCTCCGCAATCACCGCCTCCCCCTTCCCGGTGCTGGAAGGAGCTTTCCCCGGTCTGCCAGGTCAGCCTCGGCTGTGGTCGGATCTGTTCTTCAGTCTACCGATCGCTCGTCCTCCGCTCTGCTCTACAAGATGGCGGGGTCCCTGGTGGAGAGGGAGACCATGGTGAGTCTACTACCGGGGAGAGGGGGACATGGCTGGCAGGACAATGAATTCATCACGGTCAGGGGGAGGGGCATGCCAGCCTGCGATGCCCAACCTGTGACCCCATCATCTCCGCCACCCCAGGGGGACACACTGCGACCTGTAGGCACTGCAAGAATTCCCCATATGGTGACCTGGGGATGGAGGATCACTCACTGGGACTATGGGGGTGGCAGCAGGTCCCACTTGTAGCCTTCCCCCAATGACAGCTCCCATCTCTATATACTCCATATGTACACAGAGGGATGGATTCCTATACACAGGAAGTCAGGGCTTGTCCATCATGCAGGATCCTTCAAGTGTGTTGTGTTCCAGCAGCCGGCTATAAACAAACACACGTATTCCATAGACAGCGAGGGCCATCCAATACGTTTTCCAGTGGTGTGGATGTAGCGCAGGGCTTGCATTCATGTTAACCCCGCAAAATATTCATTGCGACCAATTCACGTACATCTGATTATGCAACATTTTCCTTGCGTGGCGACAAATTCATAGAGAAAAACCGCCAGATCGCTTGTAAGGGAAGTGGAGGGAAATACGACCTCGGACATGGTGCAGTAAATTGTTGATAGTGGCACTTTTGTGACCATTTGCTGACCAGGTAACACGTATATGCTCAGTGCTGCACATATGTGTCCATGGTCATCCGTGTTTAGAGCGTGTTCAGTGCACGCTCCCAGCACGCTGACTGAGATGTCTGACAGCTTTCTGGTACAGCTTCTGATTGAGAACCAGTGGGACATGCTCCTGACCATGGGACTGTTGTGAGAGCCAATCAGAGCCAATCAGAGGAGTCACGTGATAGAGGAGCCGCACCGTCTCCTGGCATTAAAGTCCAGTAAAAGGTGACATATCAGGGAATTCACTGTCTACAGCACTTTTTAGAACTCTGTCATCAATACAGGTGACACATCAGTGCAGATGACAGATTCATGCAGCTGTTGGAAACAGGTAGGTGAATTTGGGTCAACTGCCACCCACAGGGGCGTCCTCCATGCAGGTGAGTTCCATCCTGCCATGGCAGGTGTCACACAGACAGCACAGCAGCCAGGGGTTTTGTAGTCTGGTGGGCGGAGTCTGATGGGGATTTAGAGACCCTAGTTCCCAATCAGGTCCTCTCTCCCCTTGTGATTGAAAGCAGGCAGTGGGTGGATCCATAACCAATAGACAGTCTGCTATTGGCTTTGGAATCTGCCTGTTGTCAACCACAAGGACAGATTAGACCTGATGGGGTGATGGGGGCCCCTCAGCTTCTCCATTGGGCTCCACACTTTTATCATCACGAGCTTGTCGACTGTAAAGCAGCCCGTAGATTATGAGATTTTCTTTCCTTCCACCACGAATGAAAGGGAAGAAAATCACTCAATTCCCACATCAACACAGTAGCTGCCAGCAGTTATTGCATGTAAAAAAATCCAACAGGCTGGTTGTACCTAAGTCAATCGATGGATCAACTTGGGTACAACCAGCCTGCCCTTAGATGGATCGAATTTCGGCTGGTCCCTGCTGAACTGTCTGAGATTCGATCCATCTATGGCCAGCTTTAAGTTGACCGCATCCTTGACAACCAGTGACAGATGAGGAGGGGATAGTGGGGACAAACATGCTACTCTGCTACACAGTGTACAGGACAGGCACTCTACCTGTCTCTGTACGCCAAATTAAAGTTGGTCCTAATTACCTCCAGTTTCATTATCTGCAAAGTGGAGGTCATTATTTTTTAGTCTAGTGGAGTCATAGAAACACTTCATAAAAGTGGTAATAAGAACTAGCAGAACCTGTTGAACATTCCGGTAAAGCTACTGGAACCAGCATCAGGGATTCTTTATTCAGGTGCAAGCCATATTAAAGTGTTGGTGATGTTTTACTGAATTCCCCCCATTGTGTTGTATCTTGAGACAATTCTGGGGTAACATTTGAATTTAGAGCTCACCTTCACTCTCTTGACCCACTTTGCACAGTTTTCCTTCTTTCCCTTCTTTTCCACAGTCAGACACTAAAGTATTTTTTTACTTTAAATACCTGGATTGGATTATTTTTGGATGACCTAGGCCACACTTCCAGGTTTCTCATCTAGGGTTTGACCTTGAGGCCCAAAACAGTTAATGCATCTTATCTAGGTGATCCTCACATTCCCAACCTGTTCCCTTCCTTCTGGGGTACGCATCCCAGGAACCCTCATGGAAATCTGCTGTGCATGTGCAACCCTGCATCATCAGGAGGCCCGCTGTCTCTTCCTGATTCTTAAAGCCGGCCCCCTGATGACATGCATGTGCAGAGGATCATCATCATGTGGTTGACAGTTCTGAGCTGCATAAGACCTGCTTTGTGGCGCATCTTTTGATGCAATACATCCTATTTTAAATTGAGACAAAAGGTTTTATTCCTTAACAGGGTCATTTTAAATGCAATACGACAAGGTGACTAGTGTCAGCGTCAGAATCACTCTGATTAGCATTTCTGTTCCTAGAAAAATCTGAACCGCAGTCAATGAATGCTGAGCGATTTACTTCTTGCAGCGTTTGGAGAATCACCAGGTCCGGTAGCTGCTCCTGTTATCCAATGAAGCCGCTATTGATCATGGCTCACCAGCAGTTTTATAGCTGCATAGGCAAGCATTGTAGCCAGCTGCTGCAGCAACTCTGTAGTCAGCTAAGAATTACGGCCCAAAATAATCAGATGTGGATCTGTTATACATTTCTTTTACAAGGTTGCTTTTTTACAACTGACAGGTGCCATAGGTATTGGGGCTTTTTCAGACTAGTCTGTGCGGTAAAACGCATGTGCATGGGGGGGGGGGGGGGGGGGGGGGGAGTCAGTGCTGCAGCATTGTGCGGTGAGGTGTGGTGTGCTGGGTAAAATGCAGACATTCACAGACCCAACACAGTGTTATGGCATTAACAGGGTGCATAGAAAACAATCTATGTAAATCAATGCAGCTCAACACCATGGGGGTTGATTTACTAAAACTGGAGAGTGCAAAATCTGGTGCAGCTCTGCATAGAAACCAATCAGCTTTCAGGTTTTTTGTCAAAGCCTTGTTGACCAAGATGAAGTTAGAAGCTGATTGGCTTCCATGCACACCTGCACCAGATTTTGCATCTCCAGTTTTAGTAAATCAACCCCATGGTGTGAATACGCCCTTCAGTCCAGCAGGACTCTAAGCCAGCCATAGATGTCTTGAATCTTGGCCAGTCCATGCTGAACCAGCTGAGATTCGACTGCACTAGATAAAAAAAATAATGACCTCCACTTTGCAGATAATGAAACTGGAGGAAATTAGGACCAACTTTAAGTTTGCGTACAGAGACAGGTAGAGTGCCTATCTGTACACTGTGTAGCAGAGTAGCATGTTTGTCCTCACTATCCCCTCCTCATCTGTCACTGGTCATCAAGGATGCAGTCAAATTAAAGCTGGCCATAGATTGATCTAATCTCGGAAAGTTCAGCAGGGACCAGCCGAAATTCGATCCATTTATGGGCAGGCTGGTTGTACTGAAGTTCATCCATTGAACGACTTTAGTACAACCAGCATGTCGGATTTTTTCTTTGCGATTACTGCCGGCAGCTGTAGCTGCCAGCAGTGAGCATCATGTTCTGTTGGCAGGGAAGGCTGTCTGCTGACAGAACACAATAGCTCCACAGGAGGCATTCCCCCATCAACATTGACTGGGTTGATTGAGAATCTGATCAATTTTCTTTCCTTCCACTTGTGATGGAAGGAAAGAAAATTGTATTATCTATGGCCCGCTTTAGACTACTTTCACGCTATGCTTTTTTGACGCTTTTTTACTGCATTTGCAGCGCATTTTTTACAAGACATATGACACAAAAACTGAATCAAAAATGCGCCGCGGGTACATTCTTGCTGTGTATTCCATTGATTTCAAAGGGGAGGTGCATTTTTGTTGTGGTGTTTTTTGTTTGTTTTTTTACCACACCAAACCTGCACCAAAAATGCAGCAAATAAGATTCTAAAAAACACACCGGACCCTCAACGGATCAGTGTGAAGAGCTCCATAGAAATACATGGTCACATGTTTTCCTTCCGCTTTTTTAAACGCAAAAGCGGAGGAAAAACAGATCAATGTGAAAACAGCCTTACATACTATCGTATTTATGGCCTGACACATGTTAATATGTTACACCATATATTTATGTTTTTACATTGTTTACAGTCAGTAAACCAAGAAGGCCCCATTCACAGTTGGGCAATTAGGAATCATGGGGCAGAATCAGCACGAATCTGCCCGTGTTTTCAAATCGCGGCAAACTGTGCAATGCGTGTTTGGATGCAACTTATCCTGAACGGCACCCCAAATGTGGTGAGATTTTGCTGTGATTGTTGCCTGTCAAAACGCAAGTGTAAAATCGCACCTCGCTCAGGGAGCTTTGTCCCTGAGCTTCTTTACTGTGACAAACGCACATACGGTAGCACATTCACATGTGACTGTGTATTCCTACAGAACTCTGCACACTGATCCGTTGCAGGTCCGGTGTGTTTTTCAAAGTCCTGTCAATATTTTTGGTGTAGGTTTGGTGTGGTAAAAAAAATTCACCAACCCCCCCCCCCCCCCCCAATTGAAATCAATGAAACTGCATTGAGTTTTTAGTGTGGTTTTTGAGTCACATGTCCTTTAAAAACCACACCGAAAATGCAGTAAAAAAACACAGCAAAAACGGATCAGTGTGAAAGTATCCTAAGAAGGGAGGATTGGCTGAAAATGTCCACTACAGGCCACCTTTTGTTACTTACCATTCTTTGTTCTGCCTTGTGCCTTTTTGTGGAGGCAACTGGAGACAGGATTTTGCTTCCTTATGTCAGAACCTCCAGTAAGGAGAACAGTAAGCAGCACAGTTGTGGCATCACAAAATGTCACTCCAAATCTCCTGAGACTGCAGATATACAGCTATGAGGCTGTAGGTGCATGGGTGCCTAGGCACACTCACATCAGGAAGTG